TGGACCTCATTCCAAACACTTCTCTACAATATGTTCAGACGGTGAAATGGAAATTCACCCTTATGAGCATAAAAAGGAGTCCAAGGAAGAGGTGGATGAGCCTTATATTTTGGATTTCTCAAGGCCGTCTAGGCAAGGTGACACTCCTCGATCGAGAGCCAAAAAGTGCATAAGATTTTATCTAATTTTTGGCTCGCAAGAATTTGTAACACCCCAAGAGCATAATCATAAGTTTGAAGAAAAACTTGGGGTTCAATTCATAAGCTCGAGGTGGAGGCAAAAAGTGATTTGTGTCGTGCCGCAACGTTAAATCAAGTGCTTGTTGGGAGGCAACCCAGCTTTATTGCTTTCTTTTATTTTTTTTTTATTATTTTTTTAATTGTATTATTTTTGTAGTGTCAATTTTTTATTTTCTAGGAGCATGGAAAGCAAAGGTATTGGAAGGATGCAACAGCAAACCAGATGGTTGGAACTAAGTGTGAGGTACTCGCACGAAGGACCAAGCCTGGGAGAAGTCTGAGTACCCCATGAGCTGCTAGTGCTTCGGTCTTTGGCCTACCAGGGAGTCTCTTTTACCCTTTTATTAGTTATGGTGTGTATTGGGGACAATGCACATTTTTAAGTGTGGGGTGAGGAGATTGTCTGGGTGACTTTCTATGCTATTTTAGTTGTGTTAGTTTAATTGAATATTTTTTTTTATTTTTTTAGAAAAATGAAAAAAAAAGATTGGACTTTTCCCGACGATGGATCTAGTAGACAATTTTCTTGAGGGAATTAAGTCTAAAGAAAAAAAAATTCTTTTGTTAGGTAGTGTAGCAATTCCCCCTTGGTTTTTCTTTGTGCCGCTGTTCTTTTCCAAGGGTTTTGTTTGAATCGGGTGTAGTTAGTTTTTTTTAGGAATAGGAGCCATTGTGTTGTGTTTTGAATTGAAGTAGTATCTCTTGACTTTGTTATGCCTTGAGAATAGTGAGTACTTTGGTTGTGATGCTTAGGCTCAGTTTTTGACTCTTGTATAAGTACCTTAAATTGTATGTTCTTGACTTTGCTTAACTGCTTTGACTAGAGTGTCTTGATGATCCAATCTTGAGTGAGTCAAGTGCCATGTGCGTGTGAGGGTTGTTGTATTCTGTGCATTGCATTTGATGACTAGAACTTGCCCCGTGTGTTTGCAAAGCGAAATAGTAGTTTTGTTCAGTCTTGGAAATGATATAGGCGTTTCTTTGTTGAGCCAGATATGTATATTTTACTCGCCTAATTGTTATGTATCGTAGTTAACCCCTTTGAGCCTATAATCATGTTTCTTTGGCAACCGCATTGCAAGCCTTACCCAATTATTTGAATTAACCATCTATTTGAACCTTTTCACCTCTCATGAGCACTTGAATTGTTATGAACTGGGTAAAAGTTAAAGTGTGGAGTGGTTGGTTTGGCTTTTGAGTGGAACTAATGAAATAAGGATAAAGGTGCACTGTTTTGAAAAAGTAAGAGCCGCTTGAATCGAAAAAGAAAGAAAATGGAAAAACAGTTGTATTGCTGTGGAAAAAAAATTATTCCTTGATAAGTGGTGACTCTTGATGTAAATTGTGCTTAAAGAAGTATGGTGTAATATACATTAATGTGAAGGTGGAGTTTTGGTTTGACTTAAGCATGGGCTTGAATGTTAAAGTATATGTATTAAAGTGCTTAGGGAGGTGTAGTCACTCTTATATCCAAATGTATCTTACTCGTCCCGCAGCCTACATTACAACTAAATAAAGTCCTACTTGATCCTTGACGGAATGAGCTTGATTATTAGAGTAGTACACTACGGGCAAGCCTATGGTGCGTCTTTTGTGGCATATGAATGTTATTTCTGAGAGTGAGTGAATTCTTTCTATCTTGAGTTCCTAAGTGTTCATAAATTTTATTGTGTGGAACTACTCTCGTTTGTTGTGTGAGGGCACTTGATTCATGAAGAAAAGGTAATGTCAGTGACCTCTATGTTAGAGTAAGTGGGTGAATTGTGAATAATGCGTGGTACTTGTGAGTCAAATCTTGAGATGAAGATGTTATGCTTTTATGCTTAGTCTATTTTAAATATTCTTGGTGTGATGAGTTAGGAGAATTGTTTAAAAAGATCGTATATATATAAAGTGTAGTTTGATTGCTCGAGGACGAGAAATGGTTTAAGTGTGGGGTATTGATGATAGGCTATAATTACGTATTTTAGTCGATTATTACATTCCAATTTACTGCACTTTAATTGAGTTTGAGCTTTAATCGCGAGTGTTTTGCACTAATGGTGTATTTTATGCCTTGTAGGAGTGATTCCGAGCTATATAGATGTTATGAAATGAATTCAAGTGATTTGTAGCTTTGAAATCTGAGTAAAAGCTCAAGGAATTAATTCGGGATCGTGTTCAGAGATCAACGGATGATAGAGCAACGAAACGAAGAATCGAGTAGGCATATTGCACACTGTCTAGTAAAATGCACATAACTTTTCACTCAGAACTCCATTTTGGCTCCAAAATATATGGTTGGAAAGCTAACTCAAAGGGCTACAACTTTCATGGTTTACGTTTTTTCAAATTCCAAACAGAACAGGGTGAAAAGTGCGTGTCAAGTGCGCGGCCGCGCTCAGGCCGCGCTCGTCAAGCAGAATCAAAGTGGATATGCGCGGTCCAAGCGCGGCCGCGCACGTCCTGTCCCCGAAAAGTGTTCTTTATCGCGTAGGAGAAGGTGTAATCATTTGGGTCCGACCCTACTTGGTATATATACATGGGAAAACGGTATTTTGAGGACTTTTGACATAATTTAGACCTAAAGAGGCTAAGGAGATCGGGGATTCGACCTAAGGAGGCAAGAACACACTGAGAGCAAGGTGGAGAATTCTTCTACGAGTTTTTCACTTCCTTCTTCCAATTTCCATTATTGGTTATGAATTGTAGTATTGTATTTTTGCAAACTATTATGAATAGCTAATTTGTTATCTAGGGTTTGGATGGAACCTCTTGGAGGATGAATTCTTGTTATGTTTTAATCAAATTTAACCTTTGAATTTATCTATTTGTTCAACTACGTGCTTATTTCAGTTGATTGAATGGCCATCGATTGACTGTGCCTATTTATTATGTGTTGCTTGAGAAAGGATACATATTTAGGTGATTGTTGAACAACGTCACTCCTTACGTATGTGAGAAATCAATACAGCGGGTTTAAAGACAGGTTTAGAAATAACAAAGCCTTGACGTGGTCATAATGAGCGATTAGATAAAGCCAACTAGTGTAGTTCGAGAGAATATGTCTAGTAAACTGTTGTAGTTGCTCGAGAGAGAATTACGGCACCTAAAGTGCCCACGATCAGTAGAGAATACATAGGCGAAATTGTAGGGAACATAGCATGAAGGATTCCAACATTTGGGGAAATCATAACTCTAGACCTCCTCATCTCCAACCCTTAGTATCTTTAGTTGTTAATTTACTGCTTTAGTTTCTTAGTTAATTCGTTAGATATAAAAATCTTAATATTATAACTTAGGAATTGTTCGAGCTTGTCTTCCGAGTGATATTGAACAGTTATAGTGAAACCTTAGTTCTCTGTGGGATTCGACTCCAGACTCTTAGACCGGATTATATTTGCAGCGACCGCTTATCCTTTTTTGGACTAGAGTTGGGCGTGATCACGGTGCTAATGGAGAGTTCGACATTATTAGTTTTAACATGAAATCAGAGACACTTCAAAGAGCAAGTGTAGAATAGTGTATGTTATGGAATTTTTGTCAAATAACCACTATTATCCTTAGCTTCACGGTGATCACCAAACTATTTACCCTCAAAATCGGATAACAATTGAATTTCTAAGTGATTTTAAGAATACGTGGTTTAAATTGACACAAAGCGAATTGCAATTGAAATTAAGTATGATAAAGGAGATTCAAACAACACGAATTGAACAGTTATATCCTTGGGGGGAGGGCCACCTTTGAACATAATGCACTTTGATCAATGTCAAGACACGGTTGAATAAGAACTTAAAGAGAAAATAACAGTATATCGCTTCTGAATGATTGATACAATGTGTTTTGCAAGTAATCAGACCCCCTTTATATAGTAGGGGAATCCTACTTTAGGTACAATTCTATAAAAGGTAAAAATCTCCTGATTTGCTGATTTGTCGGTTCCTTATTGATACGTGCCGAGATTCCAGCCGTCATACCCGACCGGTTACGGATATTTCGGCCTTCTGTTATTTCGATCTTCTGTTGGTTATACTGGCAATATTTCCTCGAGCTCATTCGGGGTCAGGGTCGATTCCGGGATCATGGACTCAATGTTCTCGAGGACGACCATTCTGACCTTGTGATCTGGTTCGATGGGACTCGGGGTCGATCTTCAATCCCTCACGTTCTGAGCCCAATTTATCATGCAGTAGACGAGCCCGATTTCAACCGTATACACATACTTTTCGCTATATGTCTGATGGAACTATATGCAAATCTCAATATGAAACTTAACCATTGAATTGTTTCGTTTACTTTTAAGCAGTGTTGATAAAACAATATCTCAATCTAATTCAAAAAGTACAGACGAGTTAAATAAGTTTTGACTTGCAAAAATAAAAGAACAAAGAGATTGAGGTATTTAAAAAAAAAAAAAAAAAAAAAGTGACATCTATGATATTCAAATTGAATGAAATTATATTTTCAGATAAGGATCACAAATCTGTCTAGACTAACTTAAGAAAAAGTAATTATACAAATTTTCGATGAAAATAAAATTAATCTGTACATCGATTAAATTTGATTTTTCTTATTCAAAGAAGATACATATTAATTTCTTAAGTCATTTTGAAGCGATATTTCTGACCCCTAATTCACTAAAAAACAAAATGTCCGGTCAAAAAAAGGAAAGAAAGAAAAAACAAATCCATGCTGACGTGTCATAAACCCCGTTCATTTCGGGGTGGCAAGATACATCAGCACTACCAGAAAATTCCGAAGTGCAACTCACTAGTAAATACGAGCAATTGCGATATACTAATCTCTCAAGTGATTCTTTAAGTCTCATGCGGACCAGATTAAATAGTGTGTGACACGTCGCACGAAATCTTTCCCCTAACAGTAGCTTCTAGAAACGAGGATACTACCCAGTTTTTATACCTCTCCCAATTCCGTCTGCTCAATTCTCGCTGGTTTTTGTCCGTCACCGATTCTCCCGAGGTATGTTTCTTTCTGAATCCGTTTTTTTTTTTTTTTTTGCATGTTTTTCTCTTTAATTCTTGTATTTTCACCAGTTTGTTTTGATGTTTGCATGCTGCGAAGTAGGAAATTTAAATCGAAGTTGCTTGTCTACGCGAGAAAGGAAGCAACAGAAAATTGTCTGCGAAAAAGTCGATGATTTTTTTGGATTAAAAATTTCCAAACATTAAAAAAAAAAAAAAAAAGGAAGTGAATACGGAATAAGCGATTCACTTCGATTTTAATAGAATTCTTCGTGGCTCCTATACTAAATGGGTATATACGCTTTAAGAGACTTGTCTAAGGTTTAGTTGCTCTTTTTGTATAATAGTATTAGTGTTGTGCTTGTCATATGGCTCACGTTGATTTGCGTTAGAGGAAAAATAGTAGGTTGATTTTGGAACGACATGAGCAAGAATTGAGGGAGGGCTCTGATATAAAGAATTCATATGATCGACCCATCTGGTTTAGGGTTGAGATATATATGGCTCTGTTTCTCATTTTAAATATATGAGCATGAATGTTATGTTGTCTTCAATAACTCAAGGCTGATGCTGGAAAGGAATAGGAAATTAAGCATCTACTTCTGTCTTTTATGATATAAATTAAAAACTCTTGTTACTGTTCGCATGTAAACAGTTTTGTGCCTAATTGAATAACTCTTGTTCGCATATATATAGATAAACTCTAAATATTAAAAGTAAACAGTTTTTTTACAAAAATTTCCAACTTTGAATTAAAAAAAAAGGTCGTCAATGACTATATTTTGAGGTCACTTCATGAACAAAATTGAGTAGTGAGCAAATTTATTTACCTATGCCGATTATACAAGTGGTTACTATGATCTTTCACTGAACTCGCTTGTATAAAATCCCGGGTCAGCTACTGCCTGCATGACTATGCAAATTAGCAGTTAATACAATTGTGAATGTTATGCTGTATTACTCAAGGCTGATGCTGGAAAGGAACAGGAAATTTAGCATCTACTTCTGTCTTTAATGATATAAATTAAAAACTCTTGTTACTGTATGTTTTATCGCATGTATGAGGAAGTAATTGTAGTGTTTTACTTGTTTATAGAGGGGCAAAATCAACCCAACCCATGTTTGTTTAACCCGTGGAAGTTTTAAAAAGATTGGGTTATTACTTGTTTATTGACTTGATGCAACAGGTTAAACTCGAAATGACTCGTCTAACTATTGGGTCAACACGAGTCAAATTGTAATTTAACACAAACATACAAAAGTCAAATTTGGTGAGATTGGAAATTATGTAAATCTTGAAGAACTTAAGCTAATAATTTTAAGAATATATATATTGACTTTCGCATTTTTTTCTTTTTAAACAGCTAAACAAAAAAGGGGAGGGAAGTGGTGTCATGTTGGAAGGGTTGACCCGTTATTTGATCCATCTTGGCCCAGCCAGTTTTGACCCGAGAAAACTTTGAGTGGGTTGATGACCACATATTTATTCATTCGACCAATTTTGACCCGTCCAAGCTGACACAACCCATCTATTTGCTACGACTAGTTTATTCAGAAATAGGCAACAATTAATATGGTGATAGTCTTTTTTTCTTTTAAGCAAGTAGTATAGTAATAGTTCTCAAAGCTAAGACTTTTCTTTGTCTAAAAAAAAGAGGAGGAAAAATGGCAGGTTCTCATATTGCCCATGCTGCATACAAGGGTCCAAGTGTGGTGAAGGAAATACTGATTGGGATTGCACTTGGCATCGCCGCGGGAGGCTTGTGGAAGATGCACCACTGGAATAACCAGAGGAGGACCAAGGAATTTTATGATATGCTTGAGAAAGGTGAGATCAGTGTTGTGGTGGATGAAGAGTAGCGCCTTTCCTCCAGTATGAAACCAGCAAGCATACTTGGTCTAAGATAGTAATGTAAAACAAAACTCCTACAGTTCCTTGCTTTACTAGTAACTAGTAATGTAAAACAAAACTCTTGCTTTACTAGTAATCCTTGAATATTCCTACGAATGTCCTTAACTTGAGAAATGTGATGTTTGGGAATTTTGTATCCATACCATGTATATGCTGGTGCTGTGTTGAGGAGATTTGTGTCTTGTTTGTTCAATGGCTGTTCAGTGTTTAGTCCTTTCAAGCTGGAAAATTGTGTTGATATGCCTGGAAATTTTGTGAATGGACTATATAGCTATGTGAAAGTTAATTTCTTGTTCAGCAGATATTATGTTGCGACCGTGGCATTTTTGTGTGGCTTTATCAGTCCATGTTGGTGAGGACCTATTGTGGTGATAATGTTCCTCCTTGCGTGTGATAAAGGCGTATTCACCATTTGGTCATATAAAAGCGTACGTGAATAGTATCCTTATCACGTCAGTAATTATCGTTGTAAATTCTAAAATTTCTTTCGACTTCTCATATCGGTTAGAATAGGTCCTTTTTTCTAACTTTTCGTATTGGTTAAAATAGGTCCATCTACACTTTTTGTTGGCAATATTTCAAAAAAAAAATTGACAAATGACGTCATGCATGGAGGCGATGGACAATTGTCTAAGTTGTTACCTTTTTCGTTTTTCTTTGGTTTTGGGTTGTTGAAGAATCCACAAAATACAAGGTGAAGGAGATCACAATTAGCATAATTATAAAAAATAAAAAAATTAAAAAAAGGACAACTATGCCTTAATCTTCAACAAGTTCGAACCATTTATAATTCTATATGAATCCTCCCCATGCTTATCTCTGGCCTTTGAATGTAGTGCATTTAAACTCAATGATACACGAAATAAATAAAATATAATCCCGAAAAAGAAAATCTAAAGCACATCGTAGACCAATATTATAAAAAGGATAATCCCCAAAGAGAAATTCTAAAATATGTGTTGAAGTAGTTCAACACATTGTTATACGTCAAACGGATTGTGTCACCAGAGGGCGTATGTTATGAGTCCTCGACTAAGTTGCGCGGACTCCCCGATTTTGGTGCCGTCCCTGTCCCAATACGAGACGGGGACGGGAGCGGGAGCGGGAGCGGGATACGTCCTGGATACGGTCAAATGAATTCAGACACTTTGACCGGAGTCCATCGACAAATTTGGGAGAAAATCGAGATTTTGATTTCTCAAAATCAAAAATAAAACAGATTTAAGAGAATGAAAGAATAACGTCCATCTTGGAGTGAAAGATTGAACTCTACAATATTCATGTAAGTTTTTCACATATCTCTTAAAATTTACAATATTTTTATAGCTCTATTTTTTATTAGCCGAATCCCCGCACCTATATCCATATCCGGATCCGCACCCCCGAATCTTAAAATTTAGATTTTGCCGAATCCGATACTCGGATCCGTCCTCGTATCGCATAACCGCATCCGAGTCCGAGCAACTTAGATCCTCGAAATGGGATGATGCTAGAAAGGATTTCAAAAACAACAATCCCAGCTAATATTTCGATTTTAAACAAAACATTATTAAGAAAGCAATCTATATTCTCATAGAATATATACATGTTTTGGGACGTAAGGATCCGAACCTCCGAATAGCGGTCCGGCTAGATATGTTTGCAAGAGAGATACTTGTCTTTTTAACATAGCTGCATTTCTTTTTGGGAGGTGGTCGAGTCTCCCTATTTTTGTTCAATTCTCAAGTCCCTAAACTTCTGAATCTTGTTTCTGTAGTGGTAAAAAGGCTCTTTTAACTAGTGGTAGAGTAATGCCATGGTAAAGGCATAAGTCATCGGTTCAAATCCGATAAGGGGCTTTGTAAAACTCAATCTAGTATTCATCATTTAGGGAGAATTGTAGTATTTTTTATTTGCAATACAAAAAGAAAGTAACTAACTGGATCCATAAGGATATAGGATTCAGCAAATTGCAATACATGCAACTCCCCTGTGGTGAAATGAATCAAATTGAGTTGACCATGCTGAACAAGAGTCCTAAATACTGAAATTTTCAAATTTTCAGGAAGACATCATCTCTTTGTTATGAAATCTGAATGCTGATCCTTACAAACTCTGGCTGAGCATTTGTACAGATTCTTTTACCCTCTGTATTCCAATAGCATCAGATGGGTAAAGAATGATGAGTTGAATAACCATTAGGATTTAAGTTGTGAAACATATTCTGGTTTGAACTTGGAAAGAGAAGTGATTTTAACTTACACTTGAAACATCAATCCAATGATTAAGAGTATCGAGAGCCTTTCCTGATTGATGTGCGATACGGGCCACTGCTACTCCTTCAGCTAAGTTACCAACTCGTCGACTGACCAATAATGCTGCTGCGGCATTGAGTATCTGCATATACATTTACACACAGAGGTTGGCATAGTGTAAATAATGATCTCTAAACATGATTCAAGAATGGAGAATAAAACATTTTTCTCATATTTATCCTTGGATATAGGACATAAAAAATATGGAAGTAAGAATAGTCAAAGCAGAACATGGACTTTTGAGGCTTGATGTGGTCGGTGCACAATACCAAAAGAGTTTAAATTTTGTATACTGGCATTGTATCGAGTTTCTACATCTAGCATTACGACCATTACCACAATGATGCTGTCCATAGAACAAGTTAGTTCATGGATTGGATTTCACTTGACTGTCTATGGTTCCATTGTGTGTGCTCGGGGTAGAAGTTTTGTATAAATGTATCGCCATGCTATTAAGTATTTTTATTTAAGTTCTTTTCTTTCTAAGAGGCGGAATAGAATAACCTCCTGCCAAGAGGCCAAGGTTGCTTCAACACTCAGCCACTTGTTAAAAGGAAGTACAACTTGATTGTCGGGGGAATCAACGGGAAGGAAAAATAAGGTTAAGTTGACCCATCTGATATGATAACCTGGAAAATGAATAACAACTGCTATATCCAGTTGAATTGCAATGATACCATAAAAATTCACGGCGTCAATTTACGTAACTTAAATCCATACCAAAAAGAGATAACAGCTAATCATGGTAATTTCAAACAAGAAGCACTTGTCCCATTAGAGGCATATGCTTGTAGTAATGGAGAGCATGTCGAAAGGATATGCCTTAATTCAGAGTAAACAAACATAAGAGTCTGTCCATTAACTTTGACGTCCTAAATTCAAGCCACTAACCATCGCTACGACTGTAAAGGATATTCTGCACTAAATCTTTGTTGGCTAGGATACAGCCAAAACTATGCACGAGGCTGCTTAACAATTAAACAATCAATGAATATCATCTAGAGTACAGTACATCAACAGAATTTTTTTTCAGTAACTTCACCATACTCCAAGAAGTATATTCTTGTGCCATCTACCAGCCGATGATGAGTGATGACATATATCATAGGTCTTAACTAATGTTGCTATGTCCTAAGACTGCGCTCCAGATATAGCATATGACAATAAGAGATATAATTCATAGTGACACAAATGACGATTAAGGAAAACAGACCTAGAGCATGAATCGATCCGAGAACAATGACTTACCAATGCATCTGCCATTGGCCCCGTTTCACCTGAAAGCACACGCCTTAGTACCCCAGCATTATGCTCTGGCCCTCCTCCGCGGAGGTCCCCTAATGTGCAGCGAGGTATACCAAAATCGACTGCAATAACATACGTGAACTTTTAGCTATTGAATTTGACACTGAGTAATCTAGAGTCAACATGCCACAACTGATACAGATTGCTCGTGTGCCTGGGAACCCTCATTTTCTTTTGCACTGCAATCAGTACTAACAGCACAAGCAATCAAACGGACACGTGTGCAAAAGCCACAGAGAGTGCAACTTCAATGGATCATATCTTTGCATTAATCAAGTCTACTCCGACTAATTTTGGTATGGACTGAAGTCTGGATGGTGTAATAAAGAAATGCTCTATATTATCTTGCATAACTTGTGGTAATGAATTACCATCTTGTTAAGCAATGATTCTGCAAATTATGTTCGTTCTGAAACTTGAATTAGCAGGTGTACACACAGTATACAGTCTCTGAACAAACAGAACAAATTAGTACGAAGAATTTGAGAATTTGCAACCAGATCTCTAGCAAACATTACTTCGAATAAGAACTGCACGAATAATTACACTAGAAGCCGAGAAGAAAGATTCTTACGTGGGTCAAAAGAGAATTTCTCTATCTTTTCAGGTGTAACATCAAGGACTACTCCAGGTCCTGTCCATTCCCATTGCGTGATTGATAAAACCAACTGAAAACTTATACATATAATACAACAGAGAAAATCTTACCAAGAGGACTCATTTCATCTAAACCTTCAGAATGGACAACTAACGCTCTCTTCATGCCATAACTTTGTAGTGCTTTGGCCATCTTGCTGACCTACAGAAAACAGACAATTTACTTAAACTTGATAGGTTCAACCTTTAAGGTTTTTACCACCGGAACCAACACACTTTTGACACCATAGGCTCCAGCATGTAATATTTGTTGAAATGTCAATGACTTTTCACATATATATTATTACCGTATTAAATCATACCACAGAAAGCATAAACAGAGTCGTCAGTTTTTTCTTTAGTTCAAGGACGAAAGCTTACAATATCTTCTTTGTAAACTCCAACAACAGCAAAAGGTACCCAAGCAGGATTCAGAAGAGGACCTAGGATATTAAATATCGTCTTCACTCGAAGCTTCCTCCTCACAGGTGTGACAATCTTCATTGCTGGATGGTAGTAAGGGGACATCATGAAACCTATCCCAACTTCTTCCACGCATTTCTTGACCCCCTATTTCCATAACCAGATATAACTATTAGGCCCTTGACAAAACCAAGTCAAACTTTTCTTTATAATTAGGATAGGGCATGAAACTATCATAAAGCTACTCAGCTTGAAGTCCTCAAATATCCTTAAAACTCAAAGTGTCACATAAACCAGGCAACACATACATAGCCTAAAAGCATAGAGGTAATGAATACCCACCTCAGTTCCTTTAAAGATTCATACTTAAAGTGTACTACATATTTAATAAAGTGAATCGCCTTGCACTCGTAGGAATAAATTGTGTTCACATCAAACAAATTAATAAATGACGTAAGTCGTGTATATAAACTTTTAATGGTTAAGTATTATGTATTCTCATTTTAATTTGTAACTTGTAAGTTTAAATTGTTTGGTTGGTGTAAAGAGGAGGCGTGAAAAAGTATTTTCATGCACTCACGTCAGGCTTCAACTCAATGGTCACTCCAAGGGCTTCCAAAACATCAGCACTTCCACAAGCAGAAGAACTTGACCTGTTTCCTTGCTGCATAATATAGAACAGCCTTAAGGGCTCATTACAAGTAAAATCCAAGATATAATTTAACTCCCAAGTAAGGTTAGTCCAACCTTAGCAACTTTAGCACCACAAGCTGCAGCAAGGATAGCTGCTCCTGTTGAGATATTCACGGTGTTGGCGCCATCTCCTCCGGTTCCAACTATGTCAACCGCATCATTTAATCCCTCAACCTTTCTACAACATTTGATCATCGATCTAGCCAGTCCTACAACCTACATTCGTGTAAATATAGGCATCCAAAAGTTGAAAAGAAAATATACTCATAAAAAGGGGAGGATTGGAATAGAATAACGTTGAATGAAAAGTCATACTTCTTGAAAGGTTTCGCCTTTGGCTCTTAAGAGAACAAGGAATGCGCTAATAAGAGCTTCACTGCCATCTTTTAGCAAGAAATCAAGCGACGCCTCAGCTTCTGCTTCATTCAAGTCCTTTCGATTCAACAAGCACTCAATCAACTGCAAAAGTAAAAACAAAATTAGTAGTGATGGAAAATCAAACAAGTGAGGAGCTGAACAGGGAGCATATTACAGTAATGGTGTTTTGCTAACCTCCTTAGATGATGAAATGGGAAGGTGCAGCGGAGGAGACGCTAGAGAATTCAATTTCCTCCTTGCTGAACTCTGAAAGAGAGGCCCATTAAACAGATACTTTTGAGTTTCGAAATGGGAAATTTGGCCCCTACAGTGAGTGAATGTGAAGGGGGTGAGTCCAAACACCGCCATTGCAACCACATTGTTTGTTTGGAAATGAGAGTCAGTTTATTAGGTGCCGACACTGGTCTAAGCCATAAATGCAGTTGGAGAAAAATACAGTACTAGTAATTCAATTCACTAATCACTACCAACTACCAAAAAGGTAAAACTATTTACTCCTGCTAATGGTGAGTTTGTGGCCGATATTGACCCTTATTTTTAGGGTTGGTCTATTTTGGTCCCTTAAATATAATTTTGAATATATTTAGTCCCTTAAATATGCTAAAGTGGAGTCCTTTAGTTTCATTGATAGAATTTGTCTAAGATCAATTATGGGGTTGGTTTCGGCACTCATCGTCTTTTTAATTTACTTATCGAAAATATTTTATAAACTAACACCCACTAATAGTACAGAGCTGATAAATTCAATATTTTAACGTTGAAACTTTTACTTTTAATAATTCCAGTTGATTTTTCCAAAAATAAAAGTTAAAATTTGAAAAACAAATAGAGCTGCCAAGATCACTTCTAAGCATTTATTGAAGCAAACGAATAACCAGATTGTATTATCACTTTTAGCCCGCGCCAGAAAATTTACATCTAATAGCCGAAAAAGTATATAAAATTTGTATAATTATTGTATATTAACATACAAAATGAATATATATACAAAATAATATACAAATTTTATATATTTTTTGGCTCTTATTTTTGTAGCGGCTATACATTGTCATTTTCTCATTGAAAACTGGCACGAAATGGGATATTTTCAAGGTCAAAATTTTAGAAGACATTAACTAAAAATGAGGAATTACAGTGATAATTTGCGTTGTCCAATAAAAGGAGAGGAAACGTTTTGCTTCAGTGCAGAAGATTTGCTTCACGAATCAGAGTTGGTTAATACTGTTAATTTTTAAACACATTCTGTCAATGAGACTAAAGGTGCTCCACTTTAGTATACTTAAGGCACTAAATATGCTCGGAATTATATTTAAAGGACCAAAACTATTTCAATATAGAAAAGGAACGGTGCAAACGAGTTGGTTTGGGACAGAAGAAAAACGTGACTTTCAAAGTTAGGCAACAACGCAAATCAAGAATGAAGCAGTGCAATTGAAACAAATCAGAAAAGCAGCCGGCGACGCGAGATTTAATTCTTGCATTTTACCTCGCGGCGCCTGGTGTACAGCGAGGCGAGGCGCGCGCTTTGCCTCGCGCCACGAGGCCTGTAGCGAGCATGTTCTGAATCTTTAAGACTTATTTTGTCTTCTAATTGGTTTTGGACTTGATTATTTCGTCTAGGTCTTTTTCTACACATATAGATAGTCATTAAACATCACTTTTGACACATCTTAGACCTAAGTAGGCAAGAACACAATAGGAGCAAGGCAGAGAATTCTTCTACGAGTTTTTCACTTCCTTCTTCCTATTTCCATTATTGGTTATGGATTCTAGTATTGTAGTTATGCATACTATTATGAATAGCTAATTTGTTATCTAGGGTTTTGATGGAACCTATTGGAGGATGATTTTCCTGTTATGTTAATATAGATTTGCTGTAGCTTTTTCTCTATTTGTTCAACTACGTTTATATTGTGGTTGGTTGAAGAGCTCTCAATCGATTGTGCCTATTTAGTGTGTATTACTCGAGAGAGAGTGCATATTTAGGTAGTTGTTGAACAACATCATTCCTAACGTATATGAGGAATCAATACGGAGGGTTTAAAGGTGGGATTAGGAATAACGAAACCTTGGCGCGATCCGAATGAGCCGTAACTTAGTGTCAGCTAGCGTAGTTCGGAAAAATATGTCTAGTAAATTGTGGTAGCTACTCGGGAGAGAATTACGACACTCAGAGCGCTCATGGTCGGTAGAGAATACTTAGGCGAAATTATAAAAGACGTAGGGGGAAGGATTCCGACAATTGGGGAAATCATAACTCTAGACCTCCTTAATCTTTTCTCCAACCCGTAATATCTTTAGTTGTTAATCTACTACTTTAATTATTTAGTTAATTAGATACAAGAATCTTACTATTTATAACATAGGAATTGTTCGAGCTTGTCTTCTTAGAATATTTACAACTGTAGCTATGCCTTAGTTTTCTGTGGGATTCGACTCCGGACTTGTAAATCAGATTATATTTGCAACGAGCGCTTAATCCTTTTTATAATACATAGTTGGGCGTGGGCGTGATCATTAAACGAGCAGTTCAATAACGGACTCCCTAATCACAACAAAACTCTCTTTCAAAGAGAAAGAAGTTTATTAACTAGTATTTATTAGCCTACCGTTAACTGAAGCTTACTGATCCAAGCATAAAAGTTGTTTGATTATTTGTATTAACTATTTCATATGCGTAGTTTCATGTGTTATCAAAATTAATTTATTTTTTCAGTCGTTAATTTGTTAGTATTAGGATTTTTGAACTTTTAACAAGGAAATGTGTGAACATAACTCTTTAAAATTTGAATAGAAGAACATGATTTCAAACATTTCTTATTACTTAAAAATTAGAGTTACCTATTTAAAAACTGCATAAAATAAATATGAATTGTGATAATTCCAAACAAATTAAAAACAGGGAAATAAATATTGGTTAACTAATTATGTATAAAGCATAACCTATGAATCTAATGTAGAAGAGAAAACGGAAAGTTGTCAGTAACTTGGTCTTCACGGACGTTAAGTTGCATTTTCAATTTTGAGTCATATGGCCTTGACTGCGTTATAGGTAGTTTAGTTCTTGTTATTTCTTGCACAGTAGTATGGTTCTTTGCTTATATTTTGACGTCATTTTAGTTCCAGGCTCAATGGCAACCACCTTTTTTTTTCCTTTTTGTAAAAATAGCACGGACTAGCCAGTTTTCGAATTGATCATTTAAAAATAGCCAGCATTTGCAAAGTCATTGAAAAATAGCCACTATTTTGCTGCAATACGGAAAGTTCCAGCATAATATACTTGAGATTGGTGAACCTGTGTATGAACTTCCAGCATATTATGCTAGAACTCCAACACGCGGAAAATTCCAGTATAACATACTGGAGATTGGAGCACTGGTATATTATACCGAAACTCCAGTATATTATACTGGAGTATTTTTCCGAATTTTGAACAATGTTTTCGTTCAGATTTATCTTTCTATGAAAACTGGCTAAATTCAATTACTTTTGAAACTATAGCTATTTTTGAATTATCACTCATAAATCTAGCATTTTTAAGTTTCTCCCCTTTTTTTCGCTTCTATCAAGGTATTGCCCACGCCAGTTGTTGCGGAACTGCACTATTCTGTCGAGTAATTATTACTTTGGATAGCAAATGTGCACTTGGTTTTCGATCACTTCTGCGAATTTAAACTCTAATCTTTCGTGATTATCACTTTTTTGTCCGTTAATTTACACATTTGAATGCTTATACTCATTTAGAAGTGATTGATACGACACACGAGTTATTAGCCATTACACGCCAAATGAAAAGATAATATATTCTTGAAACCTCAGAAGAAAAATACATGTCAACTTTATCTTCTGCCCGTCAAAGGAAACACCAACATTCCTAAAGGAAGTCATATTTTTATAGGCAGTTGTATCTCCCAATACCTGGCTGAAAAAAAATTCTAAGATTTCCCGCCTCGCAGATAAGATGCTCAAACTCTCCTACAGAAAAGAGAGTGTGTTTCATTCACCTCAATTTTAGGACACATGGGAAAGATAACCCCCACTTATTTCCCCTTCCCTGAGAAACTTTAATTACTATAGCTCCCGTGGTCGACAAACCTTGATGACCTACACCCCAAAAATGCTACCAGCATAGGAGCCTATGCTTCCATTCTTATAGTTGATGAAGGTGCAATCACTCTTCTCAGGGTGAAACGATATACAACTAATAGGTCATGAGCCTGCAATGTCCAATAACAAAGGATGTAGTGTGTTGAGAATATACTCACTCACTGGAGGATAAGTTAAGTGATACTTCGGCTCCACAATCACATCAAGAGCATTTAGTGCTTGCCCCACTTAGTATAATTCCTAGTTCACCAAGAGTTGCCTGTTTTAAAGCTTGCACTAAAAGTACAGATGCCTATGCATGTTCCAAATTTTTTTTGTTGAAAATAAGAGCCAGAAGACTACTGTAGGAATACATTCATTTAGTACAGAATAAAAGAAATGACACTTAACTTCTATACGCCATCAATATTACAGCAGTAGCAATAATAACACTGACACCAGTATGTAGTAGCATAGTAATTGCCTACGCATGAAAAGAACAAACTTCACAAATACAGCAAGCATTAAGCGCCAAACACAGAATTTAACGAGGAGAAACTGGAGGGACGGGAGAAACCACAGAATAGCCTGCAAGAATCTCCTCTACACATGCATAATGCACGATAAGAACTATAAACCAACGTTAACACTGTTTACGTTTACATACACTGAAACTTTTCTACTTAGTTGTGTGCGCTCATGTAACATTTTCATTTTTCTACATTTGAGGCACCATGTCTCTTTCAAGCACACAGACTAACATGCTCAGAAAAAATTGCCAGAATAAAGTACTACTATTGATGGTTTAACCAGAAGATGGGGTCCTCTTTCAGTTTATCCCAAAAAGCAAATGATGCGGCCAGCAGGCACTAGAAGCCAACTGGACAAATATCATGGATATAATAAAAAACAATACACCTCTACTTCACTCTGAAGCGCAGTATACTCTTACTAACGGATCATGCCTTCTTACTCTTCTTCTAACCAAATGAGATCCATTAGCAAATGGCTCACAATTACATGGAGCAACCTGATCAAATCAATCAGTAAACCGGCTCTTTTTACCACTCCATCCTGAACCTATATTTGGGCTTCTGCTACGACTGCGCTTCCGAGAAGCATCCGCATTGTAGGTACCATATCTGTCACTACATGATTAGAAACTAGTCAAAACCAAGTAAAAAAGGGAAAAAGAAAATCCAGAGGAACCAATGAATGGCTGAATACCTGTCACGTGATCCCCGGTCATAACCATGTCCTCCATTCCGTCCAACAAAGCTGGAATTATAGGGTCCTCCACGTCCACCTGGGCCAGAACC